CTAGTTCTCTTGGGCTGTTCTGCTGGAGGACCTTGTTATCCTGCTTTTACTGATGGAGGAGCTTTGGTCTTCATCTTGAGCATCACTTCCTGGCTTCAGAGGAGAAGATGGTGCACTGCTCAGCCTCACGAAGAAGATTGTTGCATTGGCTTTCCTGACAGGAATGGAATGCCACTTTCTTTATCACAAGGAGATCGGGACCTCACTATTGCTGAGGACAGCTGTGGCACTTTTGGGGGCGTTCTGGTGCTTACATTAAGTGTTGCTTCCCAGCTCCAGTCCAGATTCATTAGCTTGCTAGCATAGGTCCTTCATCCCATTGGCACAGACTTCCTAGCTTGCACCACTGACCTTTGGGCCTTTCCAGCACAAATCCATGAAGAGGGCCTGCATGGGACTTTGTTGTGGGCTCTAGGCCTCCAGTTGGACTGGTAGGGGGCATTGTTATGAGCTCTAGGCCCAGCACTGATATATGTATGTTATATATTTCATATATAATTTAAACTAGATATCATCTACAATCAAAAGGTCCACTTATCCAGTAGAAAGAGGTTTATCTGCTCAGCTGGCTTCATTAATATTTAGTATGTGGATAGATTTCCTGCACTTGTAGTATGTGATTCATTATAAAACACTATTATAAAACATGTCCTGTACTATATTGTTCACTTTGCAAAAAAAAAAAAAATCCAAATTATGACAGTGGAAAATAAAAGCTAAAGAGGAATGGAGGAATAGCTGACATACACAGAAGTGGAAAGAAATGAGCTTTCCTAAATGTTATTAAAATAGCTACCTTTCTTATAATATTAGAAGAAACAAACCACACAAATTCCAAGCAGAAAGTGATTTTGAGTGTTACAAATTTGCAGGGAAGTTGCTCCTCCCTGAGAGTTGGAGGACCATCTGATTCTGCAAAGAAGGGGCTAGTGAGGTTCTCTAGAAGGACTCATTCCCTAGCCTGAAGCCACAACAGAGGTACCCGTATTTGGATAAAAAGTATATTATCTTGGAAAACTTAGAAAATCTGGCACCTTAAATGTCAGCAGATAAACATCTTTCCAGCGGATAAGTAGTCCTTTTGCTCATAGATGATATCTACATTAAACTATATATAAAATATGTAATGTACATATATCATTTCTGGGGAAAGGAGGCTGACTTCTTGATTCATGCTTCTTTATCTTGCCATCTCTTCCAATTTACCTGAAATGTGCAGTGTCCTTAAGTTCACTTCCAGTTCCATTGTTCATTTGGAGTGTGCTCATTTTTCTAAGTCTTGACTCCCTGGCCTGGTAGGTCACAGCAGCAGAGCCCGTCTTCCCATGCCTTCCCATGTTTCATTTGCATGCCAATGAAGCATTCATTTGCCTTGCTTTCCCATGCTTCTGTAAAGTGGTCCAGGCTTGTTGACTTTTCTAAGTCTATTTTTATGAGTAGGGACTCCAAGCTTCTAGTACAAGACACATGTCACTGTCTTAATTTTCTCAACTATTCTCTTAACGTTTAGACCCTTGTGCTGCAGTCTGTGGGCCAATTTCTTTTTCAACTCATTTCTGGCAATCTATGGTCACTGGAACAAAAATACTTCCATCCTTTTTGAGCAGGGTCTCCCAGAAAGTCAGCAGCAGGTTTTTTATACTTACTGTGTACTGGTTCGAAGCTTATGGAAACAGAGGCTACTATGGTTTATAGTAATGCCAAAGGAAGAGCAAAGCCCGGTGACACCAGCTGACATTTTGGGTGCTATCCTAGTGGATAGGGTTCTGGGGCTGGCTTGGCATGCTGTACTGGGGTTCAAACCTGGATTCTTGCGCTTGTCAGGCTGGCGCTTAGACCGCCAAGCTATCTCCCTAGCCAAATAGTTTTAACAAATGGTTTAGCGGCTGATGCTGCTAGTTCAGATACTGCAGTTTGAGAGCCACTGCCTACTTCCATGGTCTTGGCAAAGATTCAAGGAGAAGACAGCCACATGAGCCTAACACACATCATCATCATCCTCAGAAGCATCTAGCACTTTGCATTGGCTTTTCTCCCACGTGGGAGAAGAGAAGAAAATATGAAACATGTTGAAAGTAGGTAATTACAAATGCGGGGAGAAAGAAGAAGGTAATGCTTAGAAGTTTTCATTTTTACTCATATTAGGGAAAAAGGTGATTCCCCCCCCCCCCAGAGGGTAGCAGAGCAGTTCACACTGTATTTTTAGAAACATCTAGAGTGTCCCTAGAGATTCAGATTTAGAGGTCCTTGGATAGCATCCAGCATCTGTACATTTAGGCAGCATTCTGGATGGATAATTTTGAAGCAGATTTTCTAACATTTTCATAACAGGTAATAATTAGAGAAACTTAAAGGGGAAATCCAGGTGGGGACATAATCTTATATACAGAAGGAATCAAGTATTCTCTCAGGTATTTTCTTTGAAAGAGCTGTGCAAAGAAGATAGACACTAGAGCAGAGGATAATGTTTTTTTTTTTTTTTTTCAGTGCTAGGGATTGAATTCAGGGCTTTGTACATGCCAGACAAGTGCTCTGTCATTAAGCTCACCTCTCTCCTTGTTATTTTTAAGAGAAGAGAAAAATTGATGGCAGAAAAAGTGACTGACCGAGAAGTTAGGGAGAAAGCTGACCAGTGCTTTTTATATGTGTTCTCGAGATCAATACAACAAGGAAACAATCTGAATAAGGGAATCTCTTTTTAAGCATAGAGCTACCAGAGAAGATTTTTCCTTTCAAAAATCAGCAGGGAGGGCTGGTGAGATAGCTCAGTGGTCTAAGCACCTGCTTTGGCAAGTGCAGGAATCAGGGTTCGATCCCCAATCCTGTATGCCGTGACGGCCCTGCACCTGGGGCGCGCTGAGCCAGTGACCAAGTCCAGGTATGGTGGCTTGTGCCTGTAATCCCAGAGCTGGGGAGGTTGAAAACAGGAGGATCACCATGAGTCCTAGCTTTGTTGTGAGACCTTATACCAAAAACATAAATGGAAGAAAATAAAGAAAGGAAGAAAAAATAATCAGTGGAGAAAAGAGGAAAAGTAGGAGGGCATGGCAGAAGAACAAAGCCGCAAACCAAGAACAAGAGTGAGAATGGAAGTCCTAGAGTTGAGGACTTGTTGTCATCAGGAAAAATTCCAGTGGTAGCAGGGGCAGAAATTCTACAAGGGTAGCCAATGCAAACTGCAAGAATCAACTTACCTATACGCAGTCATTAAAAAAAAAAACAACTATACTACTTTATATATGTGTGTGTGTGTGTGAGAGAGAGAGAGAGAGAGAGAGAGAGAGAGAGACAGAGAGGAGAGAGAGAGAGACAGAGAAGGAGATTGGAGGGGTACACAGAGAGTCAGACAGATAGACATCAGATCACTGACACCTGTTTGGATGTCCTGAATGTGTCTAAGTATTCAAGTTTTTGATCAGGCATTAGGCATCTCAAGGAGTTAATCTCTCCAAACAGAAGTAAAGATAGAATCTTTGAAAGATCAGCCTTTAGAAGGAAATATGAAAAAGAAATAATATTCATATACTGTCAAAATGTTCTCCTGTCTTTTGAGTAATGTAACATAATACTGTTTGTAGTACTGCATATATATATGTAGATAGATAGATATAGATAGATATAGATATATAAGATTTGAATTTTGCAATTTGTTTATTACATCATTTTTTTTTTCTTTTTGGTACCAGGGATCAAACTCAGGACCTTGTGCTTGCCAGGCAAGCACTTACACCACTGAGCTATCTCCCCAGCCATATCACATCATTTTGATCTCCCTAAATCGCAATGCTCATTTGATTTCAAATCTTTAATTGCAACTTTACCTGAAATATTTTTGTCCTTCTCTGAGTTCATTGAATGTTTCCATCTCTGAATTTAAATCACATGTAAGGAAAACCTTCTATGCATCACATTATTCTCCTGAGTTTACAGGAGAAGTTTGTATTCAAGAGGGTCCCAATAAATTACTGTTGAATACATTAGTAATGAAAATGTATGCCAAACTCATTAATAGAAACATTCAGCTTCCTCCCCAGAATCCATCTCATTTTACCTTTTCCTATCAGGTAATAGCACTGGCAGGTGGATTTGACTCCACCTCTAGCTCGTTGCAAAGGCCTTTTTTGCATAGGAGTTCTGCCTATCTATGGTTTAGGCATGGAGCTGTTCCAATCAGAGCAAAGCTCAGGAGTTCTGCTCTAAAGATAGGGGAAATTCTTTATAGATCCTTTGGTGTACTGTTGGGCTGACTGCTACTGTGATGATAAATTTACTATTATGGGGTCAACCAGTTTGAGAGGAAAGCCAGTACCAGAAGGCAAAGCTTTGCAAAGAGTGAGAATCAACGTGTGATCAAATGATGCTGCAGCCACAGCCCGTTCTAGACAGAAAAGTCCTGGGAGCCAATATATTCCCTTTTGGATTAAACTAGGGAATGAGATTTTTTTTGTTGTTGTTGTTGTTTTGGTTTTTTGGGAATGAGATTTTTTATTCTTTGAATACCTCCTTATTATTTGTCGAACTCCTCCAGTTTATTTATTTATTTATTTATTTTTAATTTTTTTTTTTTTTTTTTTTAACGGAACCAGCGATTGAACTCAGGCCCTTGTGCTTGCCAGGCAAGCATTTATTCTACTGAGCCTTCTCCACAGCCCCTCCAGTTTTTAAATTTTTGTGACAGTATGTAATTTGTCTTCTTGCAACTCAATTCATTTGGAGAAATAGCATCACTTTTAGAAAGCATTTACTATCCTGGTAAGATCATTTTGGTGCTTATGCTGGGTTTAATAAAAGTCATGTTCACAGGTGGTAAAACAATATGTTTGAGAACTGTTCCTACATTCATTTCTGTTCAAAACTATTAGTGTTCTTATATACTTAGACAGCAATGCTATGGCCTTTTTAATCAATTCATATTCCAAACATTTCCTGAATATTTAAATTATTCTAGTTGCATAATATAAATTTCTCAGAGTTTCTGGCAATCTGCTAAATGTAGATACCTTTTCGATGAAACTGAAGCGACCCCAGCAGACAAATGGATTTTAGCATCTCAGTTGTATACATTTCTAAGCAGCACTGCAGCTGTATGTAAAGCCGACAGATTTCTGGGTGTATCTCCCCATCTTCTGGGCTGCAATAGAATAAAAAAGAAAAACTGTGAACAACCTCAAGATTTCACCACTGAGAGGGGAAAACATTCAATAAAGATTCCTTAAAGCTTTGAGTCTAAGATACAAGGCTTCCTATTTTAAACCAATAACCGTTGTGACAGTTCTTACATAAGTATCTTTCTCACCACTCTTAATTCTTCCCCTTCAGCTGCAGGCTTGTGCTGGGAGCTTAAAAATTGCAAATGCTTTAAGTAATTGAGAATATCAGACATTTTCAATTTCACTGCTGGAATAAATTTCCAAAATATACTTAAACCATAATAATCTCCTAGCATGCAAAAAGAGATTAAAAACTCTTGTTTTTAGAGAAATGAACGAGATCTATTCAATTAATGCTTGTAAGACAATTCTTTTTTAAATTTTTATTTTTTCTCATAATTTTATTGAGAAATAAATAGCAATGAGACAGTTTTAAATCAAACTGTTTGGTAGGACAGTTTCAATAGTTAACACATTGCATACTCTCTTCCTAGTGGTTATTTGTTGTACAAGATGCAGACATGATATCCTATTTACAAACACCATTAGAACAAATCCCTCTATTCATTGAATTAAGAGACTTTAGCTATATATCTATCCTAACCATTTTGAATACACAGATACAAAATAGTCATTCATCTGTATCCCCTTTTTTGTTTAGTTCTGTCATTTAAATATTATAGGTGTGTGAACTCAGCAAAATATTCCAAAATAGTCCAGTAGTCCATAATAGTATTGGGTCTTCCACTTGACTGGCAATGTGTAAGACAATTCTTGAATATTAGGGACCAGAATAATATGATTAAAGAGTCAATTTACCAATTATTTTTTCAAGTTTGGGGTTTTTTTTTTTGTCTTGGTCTAAAAGACATATCTATTCCCTATCCCCCTATGGTTCATTTATGAATGAAAGGCCAACTGTTTTCAATGAATAAATAAAAAATTGTGAAAAAGACAGAAACAACTAAATTCTAATAATTATGTTTAACAACTTACATTAAATAAACATTGAACTTGTTTTGTTTTTTGAAGTGTATGTGGCATTGTCCCTAGGGGTGCTCTAACACTGAGCTATATAGCCAGTTCTTTTCAATTAAAAAAAAAATTATTTGGGGCAGGATCTTGCTAAGCTTTCCAGGTAGGAATCAATGTTGGAATACATCTGCTTCAGCCTCCTTAAGAACTAAGATTACAGATGTGTGCCACCACATCAGCCAGACACCAACTTTAGGCTTGAAAATTTATCCTAAAGTTTCTGAGTCTTTTTTTCCTATACATGGTAAAATATGGAGTGATCATTTTTGCTTTTTGATTAAGAGGAGAAAAATGAGCATGGCCTGATGGTGTGGGTCTGTATTCATGACACTCCAGGAGGCTGAGGCAGGACGAACACAAGGGCAGACCCAGCCTGGCAATTCAATGATTTATCAAGTCTCTATCTTGAAATAAAAAATGAACTGGGGATGTAGCTCAGTGAGAAGGCCCCGGATTCAGTGTTCAACCCCCTGCCCCAGGGTAGAGAAATAAGGTCTTGATAAGATAGTACTTTTATTTTATATGCAACTAAAACAGCATTGGTAATATCATAAATTGGAAAAAAGGATAAAGTTTAATGATAGATTTGAAATGAAAGAAAGCTTAAAAATGATCTCTGACAAATGTCCTAATGTGTTGTCTTTACTTCTATCCCCATTCATCTAAAATGCAGTGAATTCTGATTAAATAATGTAGTATTTGGACTTGATTCCTTTATAAAGTGGGTCAGTGGCAGAATGTCAGGTGGCAATTATCATAAAAAAAGAGAGAGCTTCATTTCTAAGCTCTCAGAAGGCCATAAAAAGAATTTGTATGTACACAGGACTTGATAACAGTAATTAGGGTTTTTTTTTTAAATACTTATTTAGTGGATGAGCGAGAGGCAAGAGCTTATCTAATCACACGGCTTATGTAACTTGGGAAAGCGCACAATCCTTGCCTCCGTATCTGTGATACCTGCAGTGTCATCCCAGGTCTTTCCTGTGTCAGACAGAACAAAGTGCTGCAGAGATTTCTTTTTTTTAAGAGCAGAATATATTTATTGAGGGAAAGAAAGCTCCTGTTCAGGAGAGGGGCAGAAGGGAGACCTGAGTGGGTTGCCCTGGGAATTTATACAGAAAAACCAGGAGACTGCGGTGGGGGTTCTAAGGTGGAAAACATGGGAATTCGCACATGAGGTGGGACAGAACTATGGTCAACCAGTAAGACTACAAGTCCAATTGCTCAGGTAAAATGGATTAAATGGGGATCAAATGGAGAAAGGGGTTAGGTAGCAAGTGGACAAGAATATGAGCAGGGGCTCTTCCTGTTGGAGATTGGGTTGATTCTTTCAAGGTGATTGATACCTATTTAGAACATCAATTCCTGATGTGCACACCTAGGGAAGTCTGACCTGCAGAGATCTTACAAAGAAATTTGGCTTTACCTGGAAATTAAGACTACCTTACTTTCTCATTTGTTTCCAGGGGTCCCACCCTAGACTGACCTTGGAAAACAGTAGGTTTGGAGTAAAATCTTTCTCATACAGTTTCCTCCCTTCTGCCCTCAAGCCCTCTGCCGGGTGCCGGCAGCGTCCACTGGCCCAGCTCAATCTAACTCACCACCCCCGCATTTTTTAGCTGTTAGAAATGTCTCTGGGTCTCATTTCCTAATGGTCTTGGTAGATTCTAAATGGTAAATGGGAATTAACGATTCCTGTAATAAAAAGCAATTCTGGTATATTCTCTGTTAATATGTTGCTTTTTTTTTTTTAAGAGCAATCTGAAGATAATGTTGTATTCCTAAGGCAAACTAGAAAAAAAAATATTTTAAGACAGACAGGTCTTTTCTGTGCTGTTTTATCATCCCAATTGCAACTGCCTATTTTCACCTATGCATAACATTGACCTTGGTGGTTCATATGCAGATTAAAGAGAAAAGAAGCAAAGCCCTATAACAAATCCGTAGCATATTGCACACTTTATGAGTAGGACAATTAGCGAGTATAGACTTATTCCAAACCATTGGGTATCCTCCTTTTTACAGGTACAGAATGTATGCCTAATGACTTGTTCCAGAAATATGCAATTTTCGTAGGTAGATGACATATGATGTAATTTAAACAAATGATGACTATATTAACATATCTTGAGACTCAGTACAGTTTGGTTATCCTTTAATAATTAGAGAGAAGTAAAGCAATGCATAGAATGCTGCTGAGAAAAGAGAAATCAAAATAGAGATGAAAATGTCTACTTCCAAATAGTCCTGCAGGTGGCATGTCCCAGGGCCTCTGACACCCCTGGAGTCCAAACAGTTGTGGCGCCTCCGTGCTCCTACATGTTGGGGGAGGAGCTAAGTGGTGACACCAGTAGTGCAATCCTGGAAAACTGAATTATAGAGAAAGAAAGGAACTAGTTAGCTGAAGAGCAGTACAAACGCTAAAGTATCCCTTATGTCAGTGCGTCACGCTTTCTGGACCAGCTTACGTTATCCTCTGGACTTGGATGACTTGGACATTTTTTTTTCAATACTTTAAAAAAAGTTTTAAAGTGAAAAACAATTTAGTTTTAGGTTTTTTTTTTTTTTTATGTGTTTGTGCAGGGTCTCATTATGCAGCTTGAACTCGTAGTGAATCTCCTGTTTTCAGCCTCCTTAGCGTTGGGATTACAGGCATGTGTCACCAAGCCTGGACTTGGTCCTGGCTTAGTGTGCCTGAGGGCTGGCATGGCATGTGGTGCCAGGGATGGAATGCTGGCCCCTGCGCTTGCCTAAGCGGGTGTTTGCGAATAACAATTTATAAACTTCAAAAGCAATGCAGAGTTTCAAAACAGGATAACAAATCAACAATGGTTTTATATTGTATATTGTTATCTTCAAAGGTGTTGCTGAGATTACCAGATATAAACATGAAAAATTTTCAAAAAGCTTTCTAAAAAATTAAGCATTAACTGTTGCTTTCTACAAATCAATAGAAATTAGTAGTATAGTTATCTTAGCCATTTTATTTATATATGTGTATGTGTGTATATATATATATATATATATATATCTTCTTTTTCATTTTTTCTTTTTATTTATTTATTTTTTAACATATCCTGCCTGAGTTTTATTTGTACAAAGAGTACAGGAGGACACCAGCCCCCTACAGATGGCACCCCAGGGGTCACACCAGTCCTTCTGTTTTCACATCAGCAGGTAAGAGGCTTTTACTGTGGGGCCTTCACGGGGGCCTGGGCACCATTGGGGGTCTGCACTGGAGTAGACACTGGAGCTTGGGCCTTTGACTGGAGCAGAAGTTGGAGCCTGGTCCTTGGTTGGAACAGAAGCTGGAGCCTCAGTCTTGGCTGGAGCCTGGACCTTTGGCTGGCAAGGCCTGCAACTCTTGGCAATGTGGGCAAGGATACTCTTCCCAAGCTTGGGGTGGGCAATATAGGCAAGTTGAGTGAGCCTGCGGTTTACTTCCTTTGGAATGATCTTGGGCTTGACCTCTTTGTGTTTGACGAGGGCCTTGATAGCCTCGGCCCATGCATTCGTGGCGTTGGCATTGTTTGCTTGCATCTTCTTGAAGCCCTTCTGTGCTTCTTGGCAAAATGCATGTTCCTAAGGAACTTGGGATTTACCCCCTTCAGAGATTCGTATCTTTGTGACTGAGGTTTCTCGATGCCATTTTCGGGACTGGTTGTGCGTGGTGTGGTTCTTGGACTTGGCCATAATTGCACTGTAACTGCAGTGACCAAGCACCTGGAACTGGAAGATGAAAAGAAAGCCTGCCTCTTTTTCATTTTTATGTATTTGGTACAAGGTCTTACTACACAGCGCCAACTCATAGCGATCCTCCTGTTTTCAGCCTCCCCAGTGTTGGGGATTCCAGGTGTGCACCATCGCACCTGGATTCATTCTCCAGCTCAGTGTGCCCCAGGGGTGGGGCCAGCTCAGCACGCAGGATGGGGGATGGAACCCTTGG